CCCCCCCAACCAACTAGCGTACCTCAGGCCTCCTGTGTAAGACTTCTTTTCATAAACTGTGACGTCCGAGTAGCCCAGCCTGGCCAGGAAGGTGGCACAGCTGATACTGGCCGGACCACAGCCTACTAGCGCCACCTTGGCCTTGTAGCTGTCCGGCAACTGATCCAAGGGAGGTAAGCTTGGGTCTCGAACTTGTGGAACTCTCATGTCTTTGAAAACCTGAGAAATGAAGGAAAGTAAAAATTTAAGTTCTTTGTCATCGAAGCATGGTTATTTCATGTCTTTGAAAATCCTCCTGAGTAATATTATGCTCTCAACCACCGAAAGACGGTATTATCATTGCTTAAAAAAATATAAGCCTGAGAAGTGATGGAAGGGAACACGATGTCTAGTGGGTGGTTGGTGAGTACTTTGGTGTGATTTGCTTCATCTTTCCTGTCCAACATCTGTTGTCCTTATCTCTCCTATTTCTTTTCTTTATAGCTTATCTTAACTCTCTAGATGCACCTCTTATCCTCGCTATTTTATTTTGACCTAATTGTGTTGCAAGTGCCCTTAAAACTCTTATCAAAATTAAACTCAATTAAGATCTCTATAATCGACGGATTTGTCTCTGATGTCTTAAAAGACCTGGGAGGGAAAGGGAGGGAGTCATGAAAAGAACAAGTTTTCTACCTTCGACAGATGGTTCTCTAAGTTTATGAATTTGATCTAAGCTTACTCTGACTCACAGAAATGTCATATTCAGTATATAGTACAGCGTTAATTATATATTTCAGTTTCCAAGTTTTCTCGTTCAGTGAATGTGATCATAACTGAAACTAAAATAAAATCAAAATAACCAAGAAAATAACAGTAACCTCTGTGGCAAACTGCTGCAGTCCGCCGATGTTGATTGGTCCTTCTTCTGTGGCATCCAGGTTGCAGCCGCCCACACAGAGGTCAGAGGTCGGGCACACCATGCCACACGTGAGACCAAGGGGGTTGTCGGACAGGATAGTCTTTGCTGCTCCATAGTAGTTCTGGCACAAAGAAAGAAACATTTTGCAGAAATTTAGTAAGCCATGAATCCAGCAGTGTCGTCCACTGACTAGTGGCTGGCCCATCATAAGTGTTACTGAAAACCTGAACAATCCTGAAATGTTATGAACAATTAATCTTCTAAAAAATATTAGCCTACACTGTATCATGATCTTCACAAGCCCACAGTATCACACTAACTACAAGGCAGGTTATGGTGATTCAAATAAGTCCCTACTCCTATTGGTAGTCGCCGTTTTGCATGAAGGCGAGAAAGAAAACAACGATTATACGGTGGTATGAGTTAAAGATTAATTTTGTAATTGTAGGTGTTTCACACCCCCCCCCCCAATAATATTGACACAATTTGGATCATACAGATGGCGGGCAGCTACGATCCTGCCTATTTGGGGCTGAGAGTGATACAACGACCTAGCTGACAGAGCCCCGAAAAACAAACAAGCAAAAAGCAAAACAAATCAACAACAAACAAACAAAAAACAATCAAACAAACAACTCCCCACACAGGAATAGAACTTAGGTCTTTCGCGTGTGACGGAGAAACATCTAACCGCTACCGGTACACCACAGACGCTCGCGGTATGAATAAAACATAAGCGTTTTATGTTTTTCACTACCTCCAGATGTCGCTTATTCTTTGCTTTGCACAATATAATAATACAATGAAAACAGGGGTATATTATCCTGCTCAATTGATCAACAGTGTAGATCTCATTGAACGACCTTACTGACTTTCGTTATGAAAAGTCTTGGCCTATAATAAAAACTTAACTAAAGGGGTCGCATCCTTTACCGAGTTTTGTCCATTATAGTTTTATTTGTCTATCCGTTAATTTGTCTGCAAGGTTGGGATCATCGGGAGACAGTAGATAAACAGCTGCTCCCCCTTCTCCTCGGGATTCACATTCACTATCAGAGATAACATCGACTGGTAAAGTCGATAAAAAAGTAGGCCTATACAAAAGAAGAATTTTTTGTCAAACCAGCAAAACGTGTCAGCAGTTCACTTTCTATTCGTGCATCATGAAAAGGCCCAGATCAATGCCCTAAATGTGTCAGTTTTAGATCAAGTGTGATAAGATACATTACTGATCGACGAGATAATTTCTGAGGGGATTTACCGGAACATCAACACAGATTCGGCATCAACACAAAAGTGCACTCAGAACATTCAACCCCAATGACACATATAACGGTGCACACATAACTCACACAAGAGTACCCAGTATGTTCGTGGGCATGAATTCACCC